TATAAAATAAAATGGGGGACATGGGGCAACTCATGTGCCCAGGGGAAATGAGATGACGCCAAGCTTTTGGGCTTTCTTTTGTCATCTTTCACCTGATTGCTGGTTTGTGTATCCATTAATCTTTACTTTTTTTTTTTTTTTTTGGTAGAACTGGGGATTGAGCTCAGGTTGTTGTGCTTGCCAGGGAAACGCTAAGTCCGCTGAGCCATCTCCCTGGCCCCTAATTTTTACTTTCTGTACTTGAGAAGGTACAAGGGTGGAATCAGGGAAGTAAGAAAGTTCATACTTGAGAGGCATGTGTCCCTGGCAAGTGCAAGGGCCTGAGTTCAATCCCCAGTTCTGCAAAAAAAAAAAAAAAAAAAAAGACCCAAAAAAAAATCCTAAAAGGCATGTGGGCACATGAAGCATAGAGTACTTGACAAGTAGCACTAGTGGTTTGTCTTTTGTGCTTATCCTAGGGTGAGTGGGGAGGAAGAGAACTCCTGAAAGTGTTATTCCTGACCTCTGCTTTGCTATTGTCTCTCTAGGGTCAAGAGGACTCCAGCCGGGGTTCAGATAACTCTAGTTATGACGAAGCACTCTCCCCTACGTCTCCTGGGCCATTGTCAGTACGCGCTGGGCATGGAGAACGCGACATAGGGAATACCATGACAGCACCACCAACACCAGAGTTACATGGCATAAACCCAGTGTTCCTGTCCAGTAATCCGAGCCGTTGGAGCGTAGAGGAGGTGTATGAATTCATAGCTTCTCTCCAAGGTACGTGGGCTCTCCTGCAGAAGCCAGGCATTACTATCCGCAGGGGCTTTGTGAGTGGGAACAGATGGAGAGGTAGCTAGAACTTGGATACTGCAGAGGCCCTTCCCCTTGGTAGTTAAGTGGCTTGCTTATGGCTGGGCTTTGGAATTTTCTTCTGGGTTAACATGTTTTTTACCACATCAGCAATTCTGCAGTGCTTCCTTCTCTGTGATTCAGCTGTTACTTCTTACCAGTTTTGGATTTTTTATGCGATTAACTGTAATCCCTACCAGAAATACCACCTTTTCTCTAACAGAGGAAGTAAATTAAGGAGCCACTGTTGACCCATCTTTCTGGCAGGCCTATTCTCTGTAAGGGAAAATTGCCAGAATAGGCCTGATGGTACAGGCCCCTGATTTCAACTCTGGAAAGGCTGAGGGAGGACTGCATGTACAGGGCTAGCCTAGGCAGTATGGGGAGATGGTCTCGAAATGTGTAGTGCAGCGTACACATTCTACCTCCTGTCAGTGAATACATGTATTAAGAGGGGGCATGTTAGTGTGAGCACCCTGGTCTAATCCCTAGCACCTCAAATAGCAAAAACAAAACCACCATATTCCTGCTGTCTTAAGTTTAGGCTCTTAACAGAATTGTTGCAAGTTTTTTTTTTTTTTTTTTTTTTTGCGGAACCGGGGATTGAACTCAGGCCCTTGTGCTTGCCAGGGAAGCACTTATTTCACTGAGCCATCTCCCTGACCCTGCAAGGTTTTTTTTGAGACAGGTTTTCACTGTGTAGTTCAGGGTAGCCTTGAACTTGTGACTATCCTGCCTCAGCCTCCCAAGTGCTGGGATTATGTTTATGCCATCATGCTTGGCCCTTGCAAAGGCTTCTAACATCAGTCTTTTCCACTACGAAAGAAAGTATCCATATATTTTTTCCCACTTGATTTTTGTGGTAAGTAGTTTAGATCTTCCTTTTATTTTGTGGCACTGGGGATTGAACCAAGGGTTTTCATTGAGCTATATCTCCAATCCTTTTGAAATTGAGACAGGGTTTTGCTGAGTCACTGAGTAACTAACTAGGCTGGGCTTGAACTTGCTATCTTCCTGCCTTAGCCAAAGTGTGACATTACAGGCCTGCCCCACTGGGGCTGGATTTATCCTTTTTGATGTTTTTAAGTAGTAGCTAGTATCTCCGATTCCATTTGCTGCCCAAACACATTATCTCAGGTAGGTATGGTAGTGCATGCATGAAATCTATTGTCTGGGATCCTCTGGGAAGATCACCGCACCGGTTCAGGCAGTTAGTGAGTTAGTGAGACCCTGCCTAAAAACAAAACACACTGGGGATGTAGTTCAGTACACAGGGTCTAGGTGTCCCTGGAATCATACAACCCCCTCCAAAGCCATCTATAACTGAGTGTAGCGGATGACTGGGGCTAACCACTGCTCAGCCTGCTGCTTCATCTGCAGTGTTTCTCATGCTCCGGTGCAGTTTCTCATACACATTCTCACCTTGTCCTTGTAGGCTGCCAAGAGATCGCGGAGGAGTTCCGTTCCCAAGAGATTGATGGACAGGCCCTTTTATTACTTAAAGAAGAACATCTTATGAGTGCCATGAACATCAAATTGGGCCCTGCTCTTAAGATCTGCGTCAAGATAAATGTCCTCAAGGAGACCTAAGGTGGCCCTCTTGGACTACACAGCTGAAGGTGGACACTCCCCACCGTCCAGGTCACAACCTGGAACCAGCAGACTTTGCAGGGAAGAAAGAGCTGTTCCAACTATGGGACCTTCTGGAGGGGGATTACTGAGCAGGAAAGAAGTGTAAGAATTGGTTGCTGGTGCTACATGGTGGCAGCTTTGACATTTTCTCTGGGTTTCATTTTATTTTTAAAGATCTTTATAACTCTCACCATATCCTCCTGCCCTAATGCAATCTTTATAAAGAGGCAGTCTAGAGAACCAGGACGGCCCAGCCTTATCCTGGAGTGGAGCATCTAGCCAGCATCTCAGCTCCCCAGAAGAGGAGTGTGCTGTATGGTAAGGCAAGGAAGTGGAATGTAGGTTTGCCTCCCCAGGGGCAGAGGTTGGGTTTTTTTAACTGGTGTGACACAAAAGCAAAATCTGGTGCCCTCTTCCCTTGGGACTGTCGCACGGTAGCTTTGTGGCTGTTTTGTTATTGCCTGTTCCCTTAGCATTGAGTATCTCCTGCATCCGTGGCAGGGTCACTAGCTGGTGGAGACTTTGTTGGCATCTGATTTGCTGCAGGGACTAAAAGCGTTTGATTGGCATACGTGTGGCTATTGTCATTCTTTCTGCATCCCCCTGCTTTCTCCCAATTTTCTGTTGTCTTCTACCCTCTGCCTTTTTCAATTTCAACCTCACTCTGTCCTATAGCTTTATAAACAGGTGTGTGTGGGTCTGAGGCCAGGATTGTAAGTACCTGCCTTAGGGACTATACCTTATACAACAAAATATTAAATATTTTTTTCTTCCTCAGTAAAAGGATGAAAATTGGTCTCAGTTGTCTCACTCCATTCCACTATGTAATCTCATTCACACAAGTGATTAGGCTAACATTTTGTGTTTTTTTAATCATTGTTTTTGTACAAAAAATGGTGTATATTTCCTTTTTTTTTCAGTTCAACAAAACACCAGGATATGGGGGGAAGATGCAAATAAAAAAGGAGATGCTTTTGTAACATTAGTTTTCCTATTCTGAAAGGATAAAACCCACAAAACCATTCCAATACTACTGAAAAGTCCAAAGGTGAAAGAATTTCATTTTCTTCTCTAAAGACTTATAAAAGGCCCCTGCCTATTGATTCCATCCTTCTGGTGTCCAGTGGAGCCATGTTACTCTTTAGTGGCCCAGGGTTCACTATTATAGGAAGATCAGCCTGGGATTCTGGGTACATGGCCGACACAGAAAGACAGAAGCATTGGAGGATTAAAAACTTTTCCCACAGAAATGTGGGAAAGACACACTTCCCTGAGCCAGCAGCAGGGTCAGGAGCGGCAGCAGCATCCACAGCTAGAGCAGAGGACTGCAGAACCTGCATGTCCCATTTCTGCTTCTATCTCCTTTCCAGAAGACTGGGAGGAAAAAGCAAAACCACAGGCCAGCGGAAAAAGTGCAGTATGTGTTTAGAAACACTGTAGAGAGATAGGGTAAGAACAGCTTTGCCAGTTTCTACTACAAATGGGAGAGAAATGCCAGAGGAAATTCCACCTCAAAGTAAACAGAACTGCCCTGTGCTGGAACGTCTGAGGGACAGGAGGGTAGTCCCAACTGTCTTATCCAAGGGCTGGATTGCTGTTTTAGGCATTTGGCTACATATGGAGTGGTTAACCACACCACCACAACCCAAGCCCCAATTCTAGCTATAAAGTAACACAAGATCCACAAGTGTGGTGTCTTACAATTCTGTAATTGGGGAGTTTCACATTTTCCCTATCCTGATCCCAAGTCTAGAACACCCCTAGGCTGAGACCAAATGGGAGTACTTGGATTGCAACCAAGTAATCACTGTAAAGCAGTTCCAAGCAGCAAGAAATTACATATACCCAGATTCTCATGGAGACTACTGTAGGGTAGAGTTAGCATGAAAGCCATCAGGTCTGTATAAATAATGTTCCTTTGATTTTTTTTTTTTTTAAATTAAAGAAATCCAGTGTCTAAAAAACTTGTGATAATGTGTTTTTAAAAAAGACTGGGCCAATAACCCCTTTGCCCACATTACTTGTCTTGTACCTTCTGGTAGCCATAATGCAGTAGCCTGTTTTCCCAGGCCCTGCTCCCTCAATCCAACTGTACCTATAGAAAACAAAACCAAGAGCACAGGGAAGGCAGATAGTGTGAAGAGGATGCAAATGCAAAGCAAACTGGGAAGCAAAGTGCTATTAAGGACAAGATGAGAGGGGAGATGCGTGAGAAACCTGGCTGAGTATGCTTTGGTCTGGGGGACGAGGATGGATACTCAAAGTACAATCACATTGGTAATAAATGATCGTCCCTTTCTTCTGACTCCTCCCCCAGCTGGTCATCACCCACACCTCGGTAAGCGGCAGGCACATTTCGGGGCTTAGAACGGCATACAAAGTCACAACCATCCTGCAGGGCGAAAAAAGCAAAGGAAAAAACAGTAGTTTGGGATATTCCACTGTAGGGTAGGACAAGAACATTCTTTGTCTAAGAACCTAAAAACTTTCTCAAGCTGGGCATGGTGGTGCTTGCCTGTAATCCCAGCATCTAGGAGGCTAAGGTAGGAGGATCTCAAGTTTGAGGCCAACCTGTTCTACACAGTGAGTTGGAGGCAAGCCTCAACTACATAGTAAGACCTCATCTCAAAAGAAATAGAAAAATAAAAATCTTTCTCTAGGGCAAATGAAGAGAAAACCTCTAAAACAACAATCAGCTTGATTTCAATTTAGAGACTAAGCTCCTAATTAGGCCACATGATAATTCTGATTTGTCATTTGGACTGAGAAACACAGCCTATCAGAACCTGCTCTTTGGTGTGTCCAGGTGGGTCAGTGAAGTGTGGCCTTAGATGCTTCGGATGGTCCCTCACCTCTGGCACTGCTACCCCAAGCAGCTGAATTCCATCAGACTCTTCTTCGCCATGAGGTCTGTGTGGGGCCAGATAACTGTGGATAAGGACCCCAAAACATGAGCTCTATTCTCCTTTCTGTGTTGAGCACTGTGTTTGGCCATGGCAGAGCACACTAATGGGCCATGGCTTCTAACCTAGGCCCTGCTAACAACTAAACTGGGTTTGGGGGACACAATATATAAACTACTGATCTTCCACCCACACCTAAGTAAGGCCAGAAATGCCACTTTGTACCAGGACAACCAACTGTATTGACTTGGGACTTTTGTGGCATCACCACTGATGTCCTTTGTCCCAGAAAATTCCTCTGACTAATCAGTGACTGAGTGACTGGTTACCTAGCCAGTGGTCTTGTTACTTACTGCTACCAGGTTGCCAAGGTCCTGCCAGAAGGCTAAGTGCGGAAACTGTTCCATTCCCTTGGCTCCTACCACTAGTCGCTGATACAAGAAACCCCCAATGATGTAGACAGCAACCAGTGATGCAAATCTGTAGAAGCAAAAAGATACGTATTATTAAAAACTAGAGGTAGGAAGGTGACACACGCCTGCAGTCTCAGCCACTTGGGAGCTTGGGCAGGAAGGTCACAAATTCAAGCCCAGTCTGAACATCAGAGCAAGATCTGATGTTTTTTCAGGGTGACAAGGTTTAGAAAAAAATGTAAGCCACTGTAAATTCGTCAGCTAAGAATAACAGCTATTAGATGTATAATTCTATGTTTCCACCATTCTAATAGTCAAATGGGATATTACTTAGAACTGCCCTGGGGGTGGGGGGCAACTCTAAATGTGAATATTTATGGGGAGTAAACATTAAAATGTTCTGCATAGAAGCCCATGCTTATAATCCTAGAACTTGGGAGTTTGAGGCAGGGGACTGCCCTGAGTTCAAGGCTAGACTGCGCTACATAACTAGACCTGCCAACAACCTGGCGAGATAGCTCAGTGGACTAAAGCACTGGCCTGGCCCCAACCCTGTTCCTGGCACAGGTGGCGAACGCCTGTAATTTCAGTGCCGGGGAGGCTGAAAATAGGAGGATCGCTACAAATCTGAGCTAAGTAGGGAAATCTTATGTCCAATTCACTTAAAAAACAACCCCAACATAACCACTCAACCCCGAAAACACAGCATTAAATCTAATTTCATTAAATCTGCAGTCACTTTCAGAGTTCAGTCTCCCGATTTAATATAACACATGCACAGTTACTGACTGTAAAGAGTTAAAGCAGGGCTTGTACTAAGAAGAGTACTCACGTGAGGAGTAAGATAGAGCCCACGCTGAGGTGGGAGACTTCTGGGGAACAAGCTAAACTGCTATCCATCTCAAAGAGGTACAAACAATCCTGGACTTTGCCTCGCTCCTCAGACACAGGGTTAAAGTTGTCCTGAGGATGAAAGGGCAGAACATTAGTATTTATGTGATAAAATCTTTTCTTCCAACTTCTGTCCAATAAAAGAAAACCCCGCAAAACATTTCTCTTGGCAAGTGGCCTCATTTCATGGAAGATGGGTGTCTGACAAGGGAAAATGGTGCTAGTCTTCTCATGTTTCTCTACCCTGTGTATCCTGTCCCTTCTGGACACACTCTCCTGCCTCAGGTCAGCCCTAGTAATTTGTGTCCATGGCTTTGATACCCCCAAAGGCTTACTGCTAGGGTGCGTCGATTGCAAGAGATCATCACCACTGCACGACGCTTCTCCTTGCCACAGTGGTTGTCATATTCATCGCCACCTTTGTAGATCAGCATGATCCAATTACCTGAGGAGGGACAGGAAGACAGTGCTTTGGGGTATAGGGAGCAGTGAGCTGGCCCAGGTTTGGCGAAGCAGAATGAAGGCATCAGATTGCTTTGTATACCAGAGGCGTGAAGCTCAAACTTTCTCCTTTACTGATGCTTTGTGCTTCCTTGTTTAAGACAACTAAGAATCAGACATTTAGACTAAGAATAATCTTAACCTTCCACAGTCAGGGTAGGCAACAATAATATAAATATAATTATGATCCACAGCTTAACATTGATTCACATTTTCCAAATACCTGGTAACAACAAAAGAAGTTGCATATAATTGCTAGGCAGCAGGGAGAAGCCTGTCATTTAAAATCAGTCATAGATAAATTCGAAGTAGCTAATTTTTTGAGATGGGAATACATTTATTTAATTATTTGTTGTGTTCAAAGTTCTTCTGCCAACATCATATGATTAAGCAATCATGTGAGGTAAATTTTGCATACTAGAAAGTAAAACAAAGATTTATTTATTTTTGCGGTACTGGGGATTGAACTCAGGACCCTGCTCTGGCCAGGCAAGCACTTATTCTACTGAGCTATCTCCCTGGGCCCTCAAATTGAAAGATGAAACAATTTTTCAGTCAAAGGACTAGGAATAGGATAGGTTGGAGCAAAAACTCACTCATCTTACCCGAGCCCCAACTCTGAATAATATTCTAGTGCATTATTCACAGGAGTAAATACCTACACTGGCTAATTAATATGCTTTTAGGAGGGAATTAGATTATAAATGCCATGTAATCCTTTTCAGCAATATCATTTTATCACTTCTGAGAAAAAACTCCATAGAACACTGGTGACAAATTTCTTAGATGGATTAGTTTGCAAAAAAGCTTCACCTCTTAAACCTTAACTGGAAAAGTGGTCAATTTGATGAGAAGCATGGTATATGGTGTGGAACTCCTGAAGTATTTGGGTGAATACAGGACTCTAGACTGTATGTTCTGGGTAGATTTTGCATTCACCATGAATCTGTCTACTGTCTTCAACATGTGTGTGTCCTAAGGTGTGGACCTAAGCATCTAAGGAGCATCTGATACACTAAAGAGACTGGGGAAGGCCAAGCATACAGAACTGTCAAGAGGACCAACATGGGATTAATCAGTAACAATCTTACTTCCGTTGAAGATGTGAGTCTCATTGAGCCTCCCCACCACCATCTCTTTCCCATTGCTCTTGTTGATCTGCACCAGGCCTGCTCCAGAGCTGTGGTTGCTGGCTTCCCGGCACACCCGGAATATGTACATGTATGTGTCAGAGCCCTGGCCTACTGTGCTCTCAAAGCTGTCAAGAAAAGCGGAAAGACAGGAAGAGAGTTACTAAGCTATCAGCCTCAAGAAAAACCCAGCCTCCCTCTCTTCTTTTGAGGATAAAAAAAAATATGTTTTATTTATCTCACATCATGGTTAAATTTAACAATGAACAGTATTTGTGGAACTATGGGATATTCATGACCCTACCAGACAATCTTTGATGAATGATTAAGCTGTACCACTCAAAACAGCTGAACAGTCTAGATATTTGCAGAATGCCTACTCTAGGCTTATGTGTTAGTGATTATTCTTCCAACAGCAAGGGTCCTTGTTTGTAGAAGAATTCCATGTTTCTTTTTTTTTTTTTGGTGGAACCGAGGATTGAACTCAGGCCCTTACACTTGCCAGGAAAGTGCTTATTCTACTGAGCCATCTCCCCGGCCCCCAAGAATTCCATGTTTCTTAAGGGGCACTTCAGATTTATCTAGCTGGCATTAACAACAACATGCATAGGCCTAACCGTGTTGATTAGACACTTGTAAAGCACTAAGATATGGAGATATCAAGCAATGCTTACATTCCTATGTAAGTCTAGTCTTCTCTGGAAGGCAAGGGACACTGCTACTAAAAACTGGGCTGAGAATTTGTCTACAGCATTGAGGACAGCAAGGTATTACAAGCAAATAAACTTAATACACTGGACCCTTGACTTAAGAACCCAACACGTTTGATATGGCTGGCTGTAAAGTCAAGACCATTTTCCTCATAAGAGATAATGGAAATACCCATCATGTGTTCTGAACTTCCCCAAACACCCCTTAACTGTTTCATAATAAAAAAAAAATGGTTGTATAATGTAATTTATCAGAAATACCAGTAATTTTCCTAGTATAGCCACCAAAGTTCCATAATGTGCCTAGTTTACCAGAAACAACAAATTTTATACTGTACTCACCATTCAAGTTGACATCTTTGGCTTGCAGAAAAGGAGTATGAAATGGAGAGTCCCCTTCTGCAAGAGCCATTAGGGACCCGGCTCTCTGGTATCCTCTCCTTGGGAGTCTGTGTAGCCCACTAGGATCTGCTTCTGGCTCACTAGGTCCAAACCTTTTCAGAACTAAAAGCTGGTCTAAGGTTGCCTGTTACATCTTTTAACACTATTCTACATTATGACATGACACTGTCACTAAGCAAGTGAGTGCAATGAATAGCTTTTTCTCTGGGTGGGTCTTCTCTATAAATGTCTGTGGACAATTTGAATGTTCCTCATCAGTTCCTCAACATCGCCACAGTCTATCTACAAGCCTATGGACTCTGCTATAAATGACACTGTCATCAACCTCAGGATCAACTGCAGGCTCAAGCCCCTCTATACAGCCTTGAAAGTTTCTCTCAAGTATAATTTTAGGCCACACTTTCTTCCAGATCTCAGTGTCCTTAGACACTGGCCCAGGATTTCTCAACACCACATAGGAAAGGACGCTGTAATATTCCTTCCAGAACTCTTCAAGGGTTAAATCTGTATCCAAGACCATCTCTCTGGAAGTACCTCAGGAACAGCTATAATCTGATCCACAGGCTGCAGAAGAGTGACATTATGTGGGAAGAACTTCACATTCATGGGAATTTTTTAGCCAATTCTTCTGCCATATCTTGTGGGTGAGCAGAAGCACTGTCCGAGATGAGATTTTGAGTGGTAACCTTTGTCTTCTAGATATTCTTTAAGAGTAGGACAGAAAGCCTCTCTGATACACTCAAGAAAAAGTACTCTTGTTACCCAGACTTTTGCACTAGATCTCCACATGAGCCCAGCCTATTCTTCATGACTATTTTCTGAACATTTTAGAGGTCTCAAAGTGATAAACTAGGAGGTTTTAACTGAGGTCACCATTCACATTGGCACACAGCAGTAAGGTTAGTCTATCATTCATGCTTGTGGCCTGGCATTTTCTTCTAGGAAAGACAAGTTTCATTATGAGAGCAAAAGCCATTTCTCTGTGTCATCATTTCAAAGTGGTTATGTAATTTTCAGCAGCCCTTTCATCAGCACTGGCTGATTCACCATGCCTTGTTACTTTATGAACCCCAGTTCTTGCTTTAAAATTGTGAAACTATTCCATACTGGCATGAAATAGTTCACCATTATCACCTGTTGATGGGGTGAATAAAGGACTCTAATCCTTTATGAGATCTGCACTTATAGCCCCAGCTTTCTCAAAAATTATACTGAGGCTATAACCTGCCATCTGCCTTTTGTTTATCTACATAATACAATAGCCTTTCTCTCTCATTTAACACTGTGGATTGTAACTAATTTGAGTAACACCCTGAGCAACACTAGCTTTCTCATACAAATGTAAGATTTTTTTTTTTTTTTTAATATTTATTTATACAGGATCTCGTTACACAGTTGAAACTCAGGCAGCTCCTGCAAAGCAGTTCCTGACCAGCAATGCATGTGGTCCTGGGGATTGAACCTGGGTCCTAGAGCTTGCCAGGCAGGTGCTTAGACCACTGAGCTATCGCCCCAGCCACAAATGTAAGATTTTGGCATGCTGAACATATTAGCATGATTGATCACAAAAAAGCCACTCTTAGGGCCAGGGAGACGGCTCAGTAGAATAAATGCTTCCCTGGCAAGTGCAAGGGCATGAGTTCAATCCCCGGTTCTAGAAAAAAAAAAAAAAAGCCACTCATATCGCTCCATAATTTTCCTTTTTTTTGCCTGGTTTCTTCAACTTCTCTTCCTTCCTTAGCTTCTTTTTTAGCTTTTTGGGGGCCATTCATGTTCACGAACATGTGCATCTAGGCTCAGACTGTTGCTTCATATGCTTACACTTTTCTGACATTGCAAGTCTTTGTTTACAAGAGCACAGGCAGCTGCCATTTGGGTTCTACTTTAAGTCACAAGGTAAACCTGAAATTCCGGTTGTAACTTGAGGGTCCACTGTATTATTCAAGAGCAGTTTGGGACACACCTCCTGAAGGGGGTTACTACACTAAATATTCCCTTCATATTAAAATGAGACTTAGTAAGTAAAAAGAAGAAAAAAAAATCTTTAATAGTTTCTCAAACCCCTGATGGTTCTTCTCATTTACCTTTTGTTAAATAGTGGTTTCAGTCTCTTCAGTAGAGCCAACTCATTCTTCGACTCTTTATCTGTATCTCCCACCAAGTCACAAGTTTTTTCTTCAGCCTGCAAGGATTCTCTCACTGCCACAGCCAAGAGCAGCAGTAGTAGCAGTCCTGTTCTCCAGTAGCTATAGAAGGGGAACATCCTTCTGGAAGGGAGCATGTGTTGGGAAAGGTAAGTGGAAGTAGGAAAGAAGGAAAAGAGGGAAAGCACATGAACATGTAATAAGTGAATGGCATTTTGTTATTTGGAAAGTATAATTCTTTTGGCATATGCGACATACATTTTAGTATCTCCGTGCCAAGAACACCTGCAGCAGGAAACCCACATATGTAACTTTTAATCTGACTTATAGATGAATCCTTCAAGATGAACTACGGGAGTGAGAAGAATGAAAGGAGGAAAGAATATGAATTACTTAAACATTGATAACCTAGGTGCACCTATCCTCACCTGTTTACTCTTTGGTTAAAAGTTAGATTGCCAAATCTTGCTATTCAAAGTTTTTTTAAATTAAGTTTATTGGTACATTTTAGGTGTAGACAATGATCACACTCATTAAAGGGAATTTGTAACTATACATGATATAACTTGTTTTATTTTCCATTCCCCTACCCTCTCTTCAGCCCTCTTTCCCTTCTTTGTTTTTTTTTTCAAGGCAAACGCCTTTCAGGTATACATAATATTAGACCACATTCACCACAGAAAATCTATACCTGTACATAACTTCATTTCTTTTTCCCATTCCCATACCCTCCCTTCAACCCCACTCTGTTATTTACACAAGCTCTGTTTCATTTCTTCCCCTTCCTTTACTCTTCCCCCTCCCTGGTTCCCTTTCCCATTTGAACATTTTTTATTTCCTCAGTATCTACTTTATATTTTACTTACACTTTCAGTTTTTCACACCAGAGAAACAATGCAGTACTTACACATTAGTGTCCGATTTACTTCATTTAAGATTATGGTCTCAAGGTGCATTTATTTACCTAGAGTCATTATGCAAAGTTTAACACTAGTTCACAAATAAAGCTTAGTTCAGTGGCCTTTCCTAAGAAAATATTCAAACTATAATTTAAATAGACTTTTGAATATGTCTAGATGGAAGCTATTGAGAAAGATGTACTGAGTTCAATCCCTGCTTCCACCAAAAAAAAAAAAAAAAAAAGAAAAAAAAGAGAAAGATGTAAAATAAGAAATCTAAATTTCTGGGTCCTAACTTATCATATCACTACTCAGCCATATCTAATGATCTTTGTTTACACTGATACCAGACAGAGGTAAATTACCCACAGCACCTAAAACATGACATTTATCTATTCTGATGTCTCATCTCTAAAAAATCATTCAATCAAATAATAGGAAGAAAAGTTCATTTGGTCAAAAGGAGTAGTTTGAAAAAGGCTCCCAAAACCCACCTTAGCTTCTGGAAGTCACAAATCTCAAGGATTTCTAGATTTCTAGTAGGTACAGTTACCTTTCATTATTATTACGCTAACTGGTACAATTTAAATACACATAATGATCACATTCATCACAGGGTACTTTAGGTACAATTAGCTTTATATGCTCCAAATTGATGACAACTCTGGGTTCACCTGCTCCTTGTACAACTCTAGAAATGGACAGTTGTGGCTGTTTCTCAAACTCATCTGCTTCCCTCTACCCCATCTTCAGACCGAGAACACAATAAGTTATTGTAAAAATTTTCACACAGGTATTAATGATCCTCTGGTCCAAGGTACATGTTAATTTTATACAGTATCACTAATTTTTCTGATACAAAGTTTAATTCTTCCAAATTTTTCTCACTTTAGATGGGAAAGATAGCAATTCCTACCCTGAGCCCTGAATACTTTCCCTTCTCCTCTATACAAGGTTATTTTTTACTGGACCTTCTATTTTTCTACACTTGGTTACAGCAACAAATGCCTGAGAAATTATTTACCTGACTTCATGTATCCCTAATATTTATTTATCCCTATTAGACATCCCAAACATCAATTCATTAGTTACACGATTACAGTATTTCCAAAAAGTAATTATAATTAGCTAAGAAATTAAAGACCCCGTGACATACTTCAAGCACCAAAACTACACAAGTAGGAAACAATTCAGACTGACAACCTTCAGTCAAGCACTGCTTGAAGAACTTAACATATATTAACTTATTATTCCTTACAAACTTTTTTTTTTTTTTTTTTTTTGGTGGAACCAGGGATTGAACTCAGGCCCTTGTGCTTGCCAGGGAAGTGCTTATTCCACTGAGCCATCTCCCCAGCTCCCTTACAAACTTTTGCAGTAAATACAACTATTGACATTGTTTATTGGCTAAGAAAACAGGCACAGCTATGGAGTAAGCCAGACATTCTGGCTTCAGAGCTTATGGTCTGTTTAATCATTACCATGTATATTTTCTTCCAACTATCATCTATTCAACTTTTATTTGCTGGAGAGACAGGGTCTCACTATGCAGTCCAGGCTGGCCTCAAATTTGCAGTAATTGTTTTGTTTAAGCCTCCTGAGTATTGGGATTACAGGCATGCACTGCCATGCCCAGTTCTCTCTCTCTCTCTCTCTTTTTTTTTTTTTTTTTTTTTTTTTTTTTTTTTTTTTTCTGAAAAAGCAAGGAGGGGAAGTGACTCCTTACATAGCTGAGTGAATAGGAGGTGGAATAAAGAACTCAGGGCTGAAGCTCCCATGTTCCCTAAACTGACTTGCTATTCCATACACAACTAGTTGATTCACTAAAAAGAATAGCAAACTCCTTTTATTAGACCAATTTAGCATGCCAGTTTCCTCACGGGCTCAGAACTAAATTTAAAATGTCAATTTTTTGAGTTTTCAAAATCCCCTCCTCCCAAGGAACAGTTTCTGGAGGTATGCTTACATTGAATGCTATGTTCTTTGGCCTCAAAGTCAGTTCCTTATTTGTTAACAGCTGCTTATTTTTCTTCTCCCCGAGTTAGAACAAAAACTCACAAATTGAGAGGAAACAAAGAAGTAAATACTGTACAATCAGCATCAGCTAACCTTAACTATCTTTCACTTGCTAATTAGCTTATAGTTTAAAAAGTCAGGATGAGACTAACCTTATATTTTCACTTTCCTGCTTAAGGTTTGGCCCTAACTTTAAGCTGGTTTTCTATTACACAGGGTGGTGTCACAGGTGGTGCTTTACTTCAATTATGTTTGTTAAATCTTCATAACCCCGAAAATGAGCATCATTTTTCCTACCGCAAAGGCAGGGGACAGATCCTTACAGAGTTACTTAAATAACACATTACGTTACTTGCCATAGGTTATACAAATTACAACATGTATGCAGTTATTAGGACAAATGGAACAGTTCGTAGCCAAAGATACTTGTTGGAAAACTAAGCACAGGGGTACAATTAGGAAGATTATGAAATCCAAGGGATGGATACATCCTTTTTAATGTGCTACAATTAGATTCTCAAGCCACACACTTTTGGGAACAAAAAATGACATTTTATAGTCTTGAAAAGGCCCAGTTCAATTTTTTTATTTTACAGACAGATGTAGCTGTGCTAAAAAAAAAAAAAAAAAAAAAAAAAAAATCCTCCTTTATTGGGATGTCCGTGACTAAGGCAGGCATTAGAAAGCAGCTTACATCTCTGGACCTCTGTAGCACTCACTTCCCCACCCCTCCAGACTGGTGGTCATTTTCCATCTTTCAGTGGAATTTCCACTTTCTTCCCGCTGTTCATTTCTGAATCCTTATCCTTTTTTCTCCAGCAGCCTGCCCTTTCAGAAGAGCATCTCCACTTGGCTAAAATGCCCAAAGTTGAGAGAGAGAAAGAACCTTAGATTAATTCTACCTCCCAAAGAGGAAGCTCCCTCCGAGGAACACGATGCCATCCCACTTTTAGTTTCTTTTCTCCACACCAAGCTAACACGCCCCTCAAAACTCTTCCACCACATCGGACATTTTCACTTTCCAACTGCCCGAAGCCATACCTTATCTCAACGATGTGGCTAACCTCGTTTCACGATGCAGCCCTGAGTCTTTCGACAACTATGTAGTACTTCAAAGGGGACTCCGCGTCGCTGCCTACCCGACGTCGCGCAGCTCCTCTTCGGCTCTGGAGGTCCTCTGGCCTCACTCCCTGGGGGTCTGACCGCTGCCCTCAGCCCGCCCGCTCCTGTCACAAGAGCGCGCCCAGTCCGCAGCCGCCTCCACGCCCCTCAGACTCACGTGTCGCGGGCAAACTGAGAAGCAGAGAGGCAGGATCCCCAGCCAACGTCCTTCCGAGAGCCGGCGCCGGGGCCACCAGCGACCAGCCGCAGACCCCAGTCCCACAGCTCCTGTCACAGGACGGTGCTCTCGCAGGACCCGGTTGTGCCTCTCTCCGGGAACCGGAAACAGGAAGCGCGGAGGCCGGCGCACTCCTCCCGCCAGACCCCGCGGCAGGTGACCTGCACCGCGCGCTTGCCTTCCCCTCCCGGAGCCCCCCGCTACTCCAGACACCGACTGGCTAGGGTCCCTGTGCGTCTCGCTCCGCCTCCGCCCATCCACTCCAATCACTACAGAGATGGTCAAGTTTAGTTGTCTTTTTTTTTTCTTTTTTGGTCCCCTTTCTGCCAATGGAGCCCGCACAGCCCCGCCCCACAGGGCTCCCGGCTCGCGCTTCTCAGCCCCACAGGGTCACGAGCCAGCTCTGCTTCTGATTGGTCCGTGTGGAGAGCGGAAGCGGAGGCCACGCCGGAAGCGGAAGTGCGGCCTCTCTGGGAGTTGGAGTGCTCGCCCTGGTGCGCGACCAGCGCCTGCACTGGTCCTTTGCAGCCTGCGGGAGACGCTGTTGATCAGTCTGTGACTCAGACTCAGTTTGTCTGAAGTTGGCACTTAGAAAAGGACAGTGGAGTGACAGAGACCGTGGAATCCTGGCTTTCTTAATGACACTTGTCTTCATCATTTCCTTTTACTAGTACAGTACTTTCGAGGTGTGCTGTCGCGATTATCCTGACAAGGTTCCGTCTTTTGCCATTTTGCTTGATTAAATATAGTTTGCAACCGTTTCTGTTTTCCAGAGGTTGCTCCCGCATCCCCGGCTCCCTTCATCCCGTCTACATTTCTAATGTTTTGGGGAACAAGCAATACCTTTGTTCCTTCGGTAGGGTCTTTTGGGGTCCCCTTATATCTCAGCCGCGTTGTTGAAGCCCTGCTGACATTGTTTCAAATACTGCTGTTGCTCAGACTGTTTGGATTCACTCTGCAAAATTAATCAGTCCGCTTTCTGCTCGCTGGTTGCTTTGCCAGGCTTTAACTTGTGATCATTTTGCTGTGACTTTTGTTCTTGTCTGTGTGACCTGCCTTGTCTCTACAGGGATCATTTTCCTACTCTTTCTTTTTTACAGCTAGTGCAGTGCTTGGAACCTAGTCATAACGATAACAGAAGTGATGCCTGGCGCTTAGGCATTTGTGGAAGTGCTATGAAATTAGTATTGATTTATTTAGTCTTCACACCAGCCTTACTAGGAAGAATCCTGTACAAATTTACAGATGAACAAAGCAAATCCAGGCTAAGTATGTAACTCAGTTCAGTCTACAGCTATTGAATATAGAGTTAATAGTCAAATTTAGGCAGATAGTTTCTAGAATCCAGGTATTCCAGCAGCAGACCATACTGTGTGTCGTTCTACATTTGTTTATTAATTGATATATTCAGTTCAATCTAGGTAGTAATCATATCTGAGCTGGGTGAGTGGAAGAATACTTGCTTTTTAAAGAAAATAATTTTAAATAGAAAATACAACAAAGCAAAACATATACATACACACACACACACACACACATATATATATATCTCAAAAACTGTATTGATGAATATAGCTACATCCTTTAAAAAAGTTTTAGCACGTGGTGGTGCACTGTACTGGGAGGCAGAAAGTTAGCAAATTCAAATTTGGATCTGGCCTCAGCAAGGTTATTTAGCCATACTTTGTCTCAAAAAATTTTGGGGGATGTAATTCAGTGTAGGGCCGGGGAGGATAGTGGCTTAAGTGCCTGCCTGGCAAGCACAAGGTCCTGAGTTCAATCCCTGGTATCAAAAAAAAAAAAAAAGTAGTTCAGTGTGAAAGCCCTGTGTACAATTCCCAGTGCAAACCAAACAACACACACACACACACACACACACACACACACACACTCCAATAAAAAAAAAACCACAAAACAATGTCAAATATTTCTCCATAGTATTAACTTTACAAACAACCTTTTTCTTTCTTTATTGGCACAAGGGATTGAACTCTAGGCCTAGGGTATATTTGACATTCTACAGCTGAACTGTTACCTCCCTCCCCCAATAAACCTTTAAACAATTTTGTGATAGAACTTTACAGATAGCTACCAAACCAATACTGTTCTTTTTTTTTTTTTTTTACCAATACTGTTCTTATCAGCATTTACATTATTTCTGTCTTGTTTTTATCAATCCACTCAACAAACATTTATTAAACAATTACTGTGACAAATACTCTAAGTTTTAAGTCAGGTGAGGTGGCATGAGGTGGCATGTGGCAGGTGAGAGGCAAGGAGGATTGCAAGTTCAAGTGGGGACCCTGTCTCAAAATAAAAAAGGAGGGCTGGGAGGATAGCCCAGTGGCATAAATGCCAGCTTGGCAAGCACAAAGTGCTGAGTTTGGTCCCCAATAACAAAATAAAAAATAAAAATAAAGGCTGGAGATATATCTCAGTGCAAAGGCCTTGGAGTTCAGTACTTAGTATAAAAAGAAAAAAAAAACTTTTCTGAGGTTAAAGTAGAGAACAGAGATAAAATTCCTTGTTACAATAAACTTCCTTCTGGAATTGATGTTCATATGTAGGTGAATTCAAATGTACATAAATTCAAATTTGTCTTCGTTGGGTTGGAGGCACAGCTGGGATTCCTTCCCCACTTTAAAAAATTTTTTTATTTGCATTTATTTTATGCTTAATTTATTCCCGTGCCATAAGGTTTTGTTTCTTCAGTTTCTTCTGGGATATCTTTTTCTTTTGTGCAACTTCCTCCTCTGGTTTGGGAACAATCTGTTCCTTTTCAGTAAGGATCATCTCAATATGGCAGGGGGAGCTCATGTATGGATTAATCCGGCCATGAGCTCTATAAGTACGGCGGCGCATCTTGGGTGCTTTGTTCACTTGGATATGTTCAGTAACCAGAGAATCTACGTCTAAACCCTTAAGTTCAGCATTACTCTCTGCATTTTTAAGCATGCAGCAAAAATTCAGCACTTTTTTTGGGCTACTGACCCTGTGTCCAGTCCCACTGTTTGGCCTGTGCACACCTACCAACTCCACCATTGTAACGCCGTAATGGTACACAGTGCTTCTTTAATGTGACATCCTTGAGATACTTGGTGGCCTTTCGGTTCGGATATGCATAATTGATGGCCTAGGCAGTTTTACACATGTTCTTAAAGTGAACGTGAAGATTTGAGCCTGTTGATTTGCATGATTTTGTGGGGTTTTCTGGGTTGAGAGAGTAGCGAACCATTTTCATAGGTCACCTAAGCCCGCTCACAGGAAGAGGTCCTTCCCCACTTTTTACAAATAACCCGGGTTACTTCCCTATATCTCTGGTGGTCATTATGGGTGCTTTTTGTGTTTGAACTTCCACCTTAGAGCATATATCAAGGTGAAACTTTGATAACAGATTGTAGATTACATAATATTGTATCAATGTTAACAGTCCTAATTTTTTCTTTAACAGACCTGATTTTGATAATTGGACAGTGCTAATGTAAGTTTTTCTGAGCAAAATTTTTTATTTGTGAGCTGAAAGCCTCATTGGGTTGGGCTTATTCAACCTCCGGATGTCTTCTTTTATTTTAATTTTTTTTTTTTACAAGACTTGGGATTGACCTGACACCTTTCTTTGTGTTAACAGATTTTGATCTAGTTTCACTGTTAAACACATCCTTCCTGCTTACAGTTTTTGATCTCCTCAGGGAACTTTTGGAATTTGTCTGGTAGTTTCTCAGTCCTGATATGCATATATTTGATTTGCTATCTTGAGCCAGATTTCATTTTGGAATTTTTTTTATTGATGTCTTTCACAATGTTGATGTTTGACATAATTTAAGAACTAAATATACATTTGGCTTTTGGTAATTTACAATTATACTATAATACTTATATGAAAGATGCAAAAATAATACAAAGATGTCTTGTGTATGTTTTCCCTAGATTATCGTGTTCATGTGTCACCCCATGTAGCTTATTACTCTCTGGTTCCCTCTTTACCACCTTTCTCATTTGTTTATTTTGAGTAATTTAAAAGTTTCTCATTACCACTAAATACATCAAGTGTATTTCCTGAGAACAGTGACATTCTCTTACATTAGTACTGTGCAATTACCAAAATTAGGAACTGTAACCTTGATACAATATTATTATGTTATCTACAGTCTGTATTCAGAGTTTCATCAGTTGTTATAATAAATGCTTTTTCCTTTTCTCCTATATTGGGGATCAAATTCAAGACCTTGCACTTGTCAGACAAGCACTTATGTAATAAATACTTTTTATAATTACTCCCCATTCTTTTAACAGAGGAACCAAGCGAGAGTTACAGAATGCACATAGTTGCTTATCTTTAGTTGACTTTGAAATTTTTAAGAATATAGGCCACTTATTTGTAGAATTTTTCCTTGCATTTTGTATTTGCTTTTTGTTTCCTCATAACAGGAAAAATTTAATACAAAGACTTATTTTCGTTGGAGAGGCTGTGGGGAAAAGGGGACCCTTCTCCACTGTTGGTGGGAGTGTAGACTGGTGCAACCATTATGGAAATCAGTGTGGAGACTCCTTAGAAAACTAGGACTGGAAATTCCATTCAAGCCTGCTATCCCCCTACTGGGAATTTTCCCGGAGGAACTGAAAGCATCATATCATAGTGATATATGTGTGCCTATGTTTATAGCAGCACAACTTGTAATAGCCAGAACTTGGAAACAACCAAAATGCCCGTCACATGTGGAATGGCTGAAAAATATGTGGTACTTTTATATAATGGAGTACTACTCAGCTATAAAGAATGATAAACTTGAAGCCTTCATATTTAAGTGGATGCCCCTTGAAGATATACTTATTTTTTTTTAAATTTTA